TCTCTCTCTCTCTCTCTATCTATCTATCTATCTATCTATCTATCTCTATCTATCTATCTATCTATCTATCTATCTATCTATCTATCTATCTCTCTATCTATCTCTCTATCTATCTATCTATCTATCTATCTATCTATCTATCTATCTCTGTGTGTGTGTGTGTGTGTGTGTGTGTCTACCACACATCTGCTTGCGCGCCTACGCTTCCACACAATGGAAGAAGAAGAAGAAGAAGAAGAAGAAGAAGAAGAAAACGTACGTGTGGCGCGCCGGCGGGCGGGGGGGCTGGCTTCACTGCACGGCGATGACGATGACGATGACGATGACGACAGCGACGGGCGACGACGGTGGGGGCGTTGGCCTGTTGACAGGACGGCTGGTGAGTCGGGGGGAGGCGGGAAGTGGTAGGCAGGAGGGAATGGCAGCTCCTCCAATTTTGGAAAAGGGAGGCCTCATTTGGGCCGCGGATCTTTCAAGATCAGCGGTCCAGAGAGGCAGCCCTTTTCAAAAATTGGAGGCTGCCCTACCGGACCCAATTCAATTTTTTTTAGGGCCAGGAGGCCCCCACAACCCGCGTGGGGGCCTCCTGGCCCGAAATCGGCCAGTATCCGCCTATGTGCTATATCCGACCGGATGGCAACCGGCCCGATGGACCAGCCGGTCCCACCGCCCCGGTTCCGGTTGGGGGTGGACCCCCCAGTGGGACCGGGTTTACAGCCCTGGTTTAAGGTGGTTTGTATCTCTCTCTTTTTTTAACTCGAGAGGTGCTTTGTATATATCTCTTTCTTAATTTAAGACGGAGCATACAACCAGACTTGAACCCGAGACCTTTCCCTTACCAAGGGAATGCTTTTGCTTATGGATGCTTCGCTCTCATGGAAGGGAGTAGCCTTAAATACTCTCTCTGCTCCGCGGAGATGCTCCTGCAGCTGTCGGTAATGCACATCAGCGGCAGTGTGAAGAAGGCAAACCTCCAAGACAATCGTGTTGTTTGCCCCATAGCTGTGCCATCTGGAGCGAGCTTCATCACGTTTGGGTTTACAGTAACATGGTGATAAGCGGCGTCTGCTCTTATCAGCGCCCCCCTACACCCGTCGCCGATGTTTCATCGACAACCACCAAAAAAAAAAAAAAAAAAACATGGTGATAAGCAGAACACTTTTCAACCAAAGACCTGGTCAAGAATGTTGCAGCAACTACCGTAGGGATTATGTGTTCATGTGACCTTGTTAAGACCACAGTAGTCGTCAATGCACGTACGCAAACTTACTCCTTTAGTCCTACATACTTATGCCAAAGGAGCAGGATATGTAACAACATCAAAGTGGAAACATTTTTTTTTTTATGTAAGGGAAAATGTGGAAACATTTGCTAAAAGTATGGTTGGAATTAGAAAAGCAGCAGTCATCCGTTGAACACGCCTAGTTCTTCTTCCGAACAAACCAAAGGACACCGAAAACGGCAAAAAGTAATTGCGAATTATGCTTCCGTGTGCTATTGTTAAACCTCAAAGACTTGGTCAAGAACGTTACGAATGTTGACCGAAAACGCCGAAAAGTAATTGCGAATTATGCTTCCCTGTGCTATTGTTAAACCACCAGTAGACGACCCCAGACTTGCAGAAAGAAACGCATCGCCACCGCCGAAAAAGTCAGGGCCGGGGCGGGGCAGGGCGGGACTGGGCGGGGTGGGGCAGGGCGGGACTGGACGGGGCGGGGCGGGGCAGGGCGGGGCGCGGCGGGGCCAGGCAGGGTGGGGCCACCGTTGATAAATTGCATCGGCGGCCTACGAAGCGTTACCGGCCTCCGTAAGGGGCCCGCGACTGATGTATGGATGTATTGGTGGTCTAAACCACAAGTACAAGGCCCCAGCCTTGCAGTCGGAAACTTGTCGCCACAAGAAAACGAGCGAGGCCGAAACGTCAAACGCTGGGCCCGCCGTTGATAAATTCAATTGGCGGTCGCGTTTTCGTTTCGCGCCTCCAGAATTTGAGGTGTCAGGCCCGCGGCCCAGGTGCCCATGTACTGGTGCTTTGAGGCCACAAGTGATGATTCTTCTTCAGAACAAACCAAAATCGGTACCGTACAAGCTTTTACCAACGAAGTCCCCTTAGCTCCCCTATTTGTCCGTCGAGCTGTTAAGCTTCCTTCACTTCTGAGTCGGGAGGTCCCATTCGATACTACTGAATGGAAAGACGACCTCATGGAGGCGCACCAGCTGGAATGATCTCAAAATTTTGTGCTTGATGTCTCACTGTGGAACCTCATGTAGTTTTAAGCCCATCCCAAGTCCCACGGACAAAATCGTACAGAAAGCCCTCATCGTGGTGCTGGACGGCATATACGATCACAGCCCGGCGTCATTCCACGGGATTTTTTGGACTTATGCTCATCCAACAACAAGCAAGAGGGAGGAAGGCATGCATTAAAAAGTATCAGCTTTTTGGTGATCCTCCTCAGAGTCTTCTGTCAATGTCTTCACAGAGACGAAGAACAAGCCGTCTCTCGTTCTGTGAACAACACTACTTGATGCATGAGTGGGGGGGTTACGACATTCTAAATGATGAATGATTGCCAGAATGATGGCCAGGTGCAAGGCATGTGTCCACATGTCTTCAAATTCCTTGTTCTGTGATTTCCAGTAGTTGTAGAACTCAGGGTTGAAGACACCGAAAGGTAGGGAACAGACATTTTTCCAAAGCATCATAATTACCCCCCAAATGTCCTTCAACCGAAAGGTATCTGGCCTTTAAGCCCCCAGTCCGTACTACAGTCATTATCGCTGGATCTGGACTGAGAGTTGGCCCAAATACAGGCCTAAGTTGACAAAGTTACCTTCCAAGGCTCGTGGCCCTACAACTGCGCCTTTTCAAAGTGGCTTGCCACTTTCGCTACCGCCCCAGGCCCAAATCGAAGAGCTCTCACCGGGTATGTACCGGTGAGAGTACTTCGGTTCATGTGAGCCGAAGGCTTAACCACCATCTCTTCAAGAGCAGGATATCATGACAGGTACGAGCAGCCCTCGCTAGCAAGCTGGTCCTGCTCATTTCGAGGTTTAAACCACCAGTACCCCAGGGGGTCTTAGGCCCCCTCTGGGGAGGCTCTGACGCAAATGCACATGGACCCAAGCGGCGCACCTATTCAGCCACCGCGTTAACGGCCTAAAAACGTCCAGGTACTGGTGGTTTAACCATCATCATATCAAAAGACAACCGCTCATGGGCATAGAAATTTGAAGAGATGCGTTAGCTTTCCACCTTGCTAGCGAGGGCTGCCCGTACCACCCCCCCTCTAGCAGCTGCCAGCGGTCCTTTCCCACCTTTGTCAAAGCCTCAAAGGTCATTAAAAAACACCCCCCGATAGTCTGATCGGTCTCCAATCAGGAGTCGTCACAAATCTGCGTATCTGCGTCTGGATGGGATAGTGCTGTCCTACATGTATCTGACCGCAATTACGGCCAGACCTGGATGAATCTGACCTGCATAACGTCCAGAGCTTAGTAGAAAAAGTCCTAGCGTGCGTATGGCCTTAAGGCTTAATCGTATTAGCCCGGTAGGTTTGATAAAATGGCCACTGGATCCTTTATCAGGGAACACCTTTTGCTACACTCAAAAGATGAGAAGGAGGTCAGGAGAAGAATGTCAACTCAGGGAGGGAAAAAAAAAAAACTCTTAACCCAAAAGGTTTCCAACTTTCCCCATCTTTTGCTCCTGCCTTGAGGTCAACAGCACACTGATTAAAGATTTGGACACGGAGTCTTCTATCGAAGGCTCAATACGAGTAGCGTACCGCCGTACTCACTCGCAGACGTTTTCGAACGAATGTTTCCATATCTGCAGCTCGACGAGTCCCGGAGAAAGGGCGGTGTGAACATGCCCTTTGATGGCCTTGATGGTGCCCTGGTGGTGGGCTGATCATTGGGACTTGAGGGTGGCCTGATTATTTGGACTGGAGGGGTGTCATCACCGTTGTAGAGAGGGTCGTCACGTACTCTTTGTCTCCCTGTCCTCATCTCCAACGAGAGAAGACAACTCGGAGTCCTTGTTGCGGTACGGACATTAGCCCGCGACAAAAAGATATCCCCCGAGTGACCGAGTCTCAGACCCCTTTTCAACTATGTTACCAGAGTGGGCCCGGGACCACTTGCCCGGCCGGGCCAAAAATGAATTGATTTTTTTCTTTTGCTTTCTAATTGGGAAAACAATCTGGGTCTGACCCTGAGGCAAAAGTTGCCCCTGCGCAGGGATGACACGCGTAAATCGAGAAATGGTCCAAATTAAAATTAAATTAAAWTAAAAAAAAAAAAAAAAAGTTGTTCAGTTTATTTTTCTGCACAACATAGGTTTTTTTGGGGGGGGATATGATATTTGGATT